GGCCCGGGCCGCCGGCCCTGCACCCGCACACCCAATGGCCCACCAGGCCTCGGGGCCCACCCTGACCCAGCAGCTCCGCCCCTGCGCCTGCCCCTGCCCCCAGCTCCCAGGCTGTGCTTCTACATCAGACCAAAGACAAGCTATTATCAGTGACTGCAGCGCGAGCGATCCCCCGCCAGGGAGTGACTCCAGGTCTGTCCAGGTGGGTTTGGTTTTGTCTGGATTTGACTTCCTGGAGCAACTCCGTGATGGAGGGCAGAGGGGGTCACCCCAGAGGCCCCACACTGCGTGCAGCCTGGGGAGCAGTTTCTTCTGGCGGCTGGCTCCATACTCCCAGGGCCAGGCCTTGCTCGGAGAGGTCCCGCTGTGACTTTCAGACTAACAGAGGCCAGGCCAGCGAGTGGCTGGCGTCCCCAGGAAGGTGGGGGCTGGCTTAGCATTTTGGTGCTTTAGCATCCCCCCGCCCCCCCGAAATATAACACCCCAGTGGGGGGATTATTCAACTGTTTGCAAAGTCCTGGGTCTGGGCTCTGAGGGGTGCCCGGGGCCAGGGCCGGCCCTGGAACCAGCGGGTGGGGTGCAGGCCTGCTCCCTGCCCGCCGCTGGCATCGGGTCCCCAGGCGGCTGAGCACAGCCCCCTCCTCCTCTCCCTCGGGAGGCTCCGGGCCAGCAGCCACCATCGGTGTGGCCGGGATGAGACACTGGGGGTCTGGGCAGGGCTCTCAGACGCGGCGAGGGCCTGGCGTGACCTGCGATCTCTCGGAGGACAGGCGGCTTTCCTTTCTGCTGATGGCGGCTCCCGGGGGCTGCACACGGCCTATTGCTGCCACCACCTTCACCCCTCCTTCCTGGGTTGCCAAGGGATGTGGCAGCAGCTGGGCCCTCCAGCTGAGACACCCCCGGGGCTTGGCCAGGCGGAAGGGCCAGAGCTGAGTTTCCATGGGCCCAGGGCCAGCCCTGGGACTCAGCAGGAGGCCTGCTTGGCCGCGCCCCTCCCCATGCCCCTCCATTCTTTCCACTGTTTGCCCTTTTTCTGCCCCCTATTTCCTAAGAAATTTGTTTTGGGGACATTTCAGCTGGATCCTGCCCAACAAAGTGGCCACTGGATCTTGTCCCTGCCTCAGGATGGCGCATCCCTGGAGGCTGGGTGAGGCCTGGCAAAGCCGGAGAGGGCGGGGAGCCAGGAGTGCGTGGGGGCAGTGGCCAGGAAGGCCAGCGCTGGAGGGACGGGCGCTGAGCCTACTGAGCCGCGGCCCGCCCGCCCGCCCGCCCAGCCCGAGGCTCGGCCACTCTGACGGCCTCTCCATCCGCAGCCGCAAGAGGCCTGGCCCGGTCCTGCTGCTCATCCCGTGTGGCCACGGCCTCGGCCGCGGCCTTAGTTTTCTCCTCTGGAGGGGACAATCAGGCCCAGCTCTGCCTCCCAGAAGGGCTGTGGGCGGCCGCCAAGGGGGTGCCCCTCCGAGGGAAGCGATTCTTGGGGGGACGGAGGAGGAGGGAGGCGGGGGCTGACTCTTCCCTTGGGACTTAATGCCTCCCTGCCCCAGGTCCATGGGGCGCGCGTGAGAGGGTGTCCGGGCTCGTCTCTTTCTAGGCCCTTGGGCCCCGCGCCCGCTGCCCGTCCCTCGCTGCTGTGGGACCGGCCATCACATCTCCTCCTGGGAGCAGGAAGAAACACTTTGCTGTGGGCTCGGGGAGCCTCTGGTTCAAACAGGAGCTCAAAGCACGGCGCAGCCTGCGCCTCTGCTTCCCTCCTGGAAGCACGAGGTCGCGCGACAGTTCCACAGTGCCGGGCCCCTGCGGCCCAGAGGCGCCAGCGCGGGGCATGGGCGCGCCGCAGAGCGGCCCCCAGCCGCTTCCCTCTCGTTAGGGGGCCAGTGACCCGGCCTGCGCGTCTGGCAGGGCCAGAGAGGCGCAGACTCGGCCAGTGGGGGACACGCCTGGCTCTCCAGGCCCCCTCCCGGAGCCCCCGCCCCCGGGCTCCACCCCCTCCCCTCTGGGGGCCACAGGGCGGGGCCGCATGTCCCAGCATGCCCAGGGCCTGACCTCCTGAACCTGAGCAGGGGCTGCTGGGAACGTAGGCCGAGCTGAGCGGCCATGTTGGACCGAGAGGCTGGGGGGCCTGCTCTCCTTTTTGGGGTGTGTGGGTCGCCTCTGGGGTGGGCCCCCTTCAGCTGGCCCTGGCCGAGGCCCTTTCTTTGGCTTCTGCCTTTGGCCACCCCTGTCCCGCTCGCTGTTAGGGGGGAAGGGAGTGAGTCCCCGAACTCTAGGCGCGGGCTTTGTGGACCCCGCGCTCACTCCAGACCCCCAGACTGCGAATCCCCCGACACCCGAGGGAGGCCCCAGGAGCGGAGCGAAGCAGCCATTTTGGGGTTCGGCTATGAAGTGGCGGCCGCCGCTGGGGCTCCGAGGGGCTCCCCGTCTGCGGGCTCCGACGGCACATTGCAAGCGCCTCGGGCCTCCCGCCCCTGGCTGGCGGGCGCCGGTCCAGCTGCCCGCCTGCGGAGTAACCCCGAGAAGCCCGGAGCCCGTCGCCAAGGCGGCCTCCTCGCCGGCTCCCACGCCCGCCCTCGACGCGCATTCTCGGCATTGCCGCAAAGGTCAGGCGAGCCGCCGCCCCAGGCTCCCCGGGCGCCTCGCTGTGCAGAGCCCCCACAGTGCCGGCCTGCGCCGCTCTGACCCCAGCTGCCCTGGCCGGCCGCGCTGGCTTCCTCAGGCCCCTTCGTGCCCAGGGCCGCGGCACGGGCGCTCTGCTCCCGGCTCCCGCACGTCCGCGAGCCTGGCCCGCTGTCTCCGGCCGCGCGGCCTGGCCACGTCGGGCGTGCCGGCTCCCTGCCCTCCACGTCCCCGCCCCCGCCGTCTTCCCTGGCGTCTCACGCGTAGCCCCTGGCTCCCTGGATGCCCGGGGAAGGCGGCGTGTCCGTGGGGCTGCGAGCTGGACCGGGCCCGGCCAGCAGGGCGACGAGCCGCCCACCGCACGGCCGGTCCCCGGCCCCGGGGGACTAACCGCGCTCGGGCTGGGGCCGCCCGAGGGCTCCCCATGCCAGCTCCCCGTGTGTGACCTGCGGCCGAGCGGCCAGGAGCGTGTGGAAGGCCTCGGTCCTGCCGCCTGGCCCAGCCCCGCCGCACACCCGAGGCCAAGGGCGCCCCACCCCCGGGCGGTCAGTAGGGGCCCTGGGCTGGCTGGGCCTCAGCTCTCACCCCCGCCCCCAGCCCCGCAGCGGACCCCAGGCGGTGCCTGGGTGCCTCCTCTCGGGCCCTGCCTGCTTTTGTGGGCAGTGGCCACGGTATGGTGGGTGGTGGGTGTCGGGAGCCGGTGTGGGCGGGAGGGGAGGGCAGACCTAGGAGGTGATGGTGGAAGACACATCCATGGCCTCCTGGGAGCGGCGGGGGTCAGTGCCCAGCCACAGGCACAGCGCGAGGCGGCACCGGACCGGTGAAGCCGGAGCAGGCTGTGAGCAAGGGGGCGCTGGGGAGGAGACGCGGCCCACCGGTGCCCCGTGCGGTGAGGCCGGGTCGGGAGGTGGAAGGAGGCTTTGGCGGGGGCAGCCCAAGGGCCCCAGTCAGGACCGGGCGCCTGCTCTGCTGAGGGGCCTTGGAAGGGTCTGCGCGGAAGGTGCCCAGAGGCGCGAGGGTCCCGGCTTCAGGGTGTCAGCCTCGGGAGCCCTCTGGGTGGCACCCCTGAGCCCCCCCACGATGCAGAAGCCAGGCCTCCGGTGAGAGGGGCGGGCAGAGGCGGGGGCCGTGCGGGGCAACCAGCAACCGCCGGAGCAGCCCCAGCTGGGTACAGGGTCCGGTGGGCGCCTCTGCTCCCGCCGCCGCCCGGCAGCTCAGATTCTCCTGGGCGCCCCCCGCCCCGCGGCTCCTCCCCACGGACACCCACTCACCTGCCTTCCGGTGGCCAGAGGCTTGTCCTGGGTGTGGGCCACGCCCTTCCTGCCCACGCTCCGCCTCCGCAGACCCCTGGGCCTGGCCGGGAACAAAAGCCCAGCAAGCAAGGCTGCGCCTTGGCCCGGCTTTGCTGGCGCCCTTGCCCTGGGCTCCAAATTCCCATTTTCCTTTGTAATCTACACCCCACGCTTGCTCAGAACAGTGGCTAGGCCTTCACGCTGGGCCCCGTGCCAGAGTGAGGCGGCTTTCCCTGGGCATGGGCACGGCCCCAGGGCGCACACGCCCACCCCAGAGGGGGAGGCACAGCCCTGGGGGGGCGCCGGAGAGCAGGGTCCTGTCGCAGGGGGGCTGCGCCCCCACGCCCCCCCTGAGGACGTGGGAGGGCGGTGGGCCTCCCGCCAGAAACCAGCCCCAGCACCTTCCGCGGCCTCGGGCCCAGCACCCCGGCGACGCGCACCGCGGGAGACCGGACCCTCTGCTCTGACGTTTATTGTAGTTAGCAGTCTACAAATTGCAGGTTTTAAGAAAGATTCACAAAATATTCAGTTGAAACCACATCTCTGGGTCAAATTTTAAATCTATTTTACTGTGCTGAACAATATATTCTAACGCTGTCTAAAACACAGCCAAATTATTTTTCTTTATTCATTTACACACATTTCTGTAATTTTGCAAAACCAAGATTAAGATAAAAATATTAACAAAACTACGCCATGGGAATGACCGTTTCCCAGCGGCGAGGCATCCTCGGCGGTGTTTCTCGCCTTACGCGCTTTAATTCTGCACATGGTACCGGTCTGTGGACGCCCGGGGAGTCCCCTCCTACATTTCTCTGAAGTTCAGACGGCCACCCTCGTCAGAAGAGTCGAAGCTGCTGCGCTAGGGAGCGCTGACTGAAAGTCACCCTTACATCCAGAGGCCGCACGCGATCAACAGCTCGCGGGGGCCGGGCTGCCCCGGGAACCACGCTGGCGGGGGAGGCGGTTGGGGGGGGCGGGCGTTGGGGTTGGTTTTTTTGTTTTTTTTTTGGTTCCTTTTTTTAGGGGCCCGTTGGTTGGGGGGGGGTGGGGCCCCGGTTGGGGGGGGGGGGGGGGTTGGCCCGGGTTGGGCGAGGAGCCCCCGAGGGCGGGGCAGGCGGCGGCCGGAGTCTCGGGGCTCTCCAGGGGCCGCTTCTGCCGGTGCGTGTTGGTAGTAGAAAGTAGCGAAACGATGGATCTGCAGCACGGCTCTTCCCGCCGGCGGCCCTGCCCCAGCCAGGAGGGCTGCTCGGAGCGGCGGCCTAGGCGCCATAGCGGTCCTGGAGGGAGAGCGCGGGAGTTTGCACCGGCGGCGGGGTCTGGCCTCTCACAGCGTCACCGGCACGGAGAGACGCTGGGGCCCCAGGGGCAAGGGGACCCCAAGGCCAGGTGCTGAGCCCCCCGCACAAGCATGACCAGCAGCAGGGGCTGCGTGGGGCGTCCGAACCCTGGAACGCCGACCAGCTGAGTGGTCGGTCTTGCAGAAGTGACTTAACCTCTCTGTGCCTATAAATGGGGGTGATCACCTGTAAAACAGGGGCGTCCCCGGGGCGAGGAGCCACGTGAGCTCAGCTGACCTGAGGGCACTTGGCTGTGTCGTCCAGGCAGCGAGGACAGCAGGGCCGAGGGGTCTGGGCCCCCGCCAAGGGGCACCGCCCTCCCGACCTGGGAGGCCCTGGGAGGCCCCCGGTGCCCTCGCTCAGGCCCGACTCCCCGGCCACGTTTCACACCGTGGCAGCCGCCTGCCGCGTCACCCCAGAGCGGCACAGCGCCAGCCTCCAGCAGCCGCCCTGCAGGCTTCGCCAGCCTCGCCGCAGGCTGCGCCGCGGTCGCCACCCACGGCCGGTCACACAGGGCGTGGTGTCCCGCCACAGGGCGGCTGCGAAGGAATTTCAACCTCATGGAAACGCTCGCAGCAAATTACAGGGGAGCACGGGCCGCCGAGCCCCCGGCACAGCGGCCTTCCTGACGGCGACGGCCCGAAGGCCGGGCAGACGCGTCGGGCTCCAGGCGAGGCAGCCCAGCGCCGGGAAGGGCCGTGGGCTGGGCCGTGGCCCGCTCACTCTCCTTTTTACTTTCTTCTGCTCAAACAGGAGGACGAAGGCTGCGGCCACCGCGGCCCGTACCGACCCCCAGCCGCCGTCTGAAGAGCCGGCCGGACGCGGGGCATCTGGGCCGCACCGCCGTCCACACAGACCGGAGCCAGGGGCCTGGCCAGACCGCGCCCCCGAGCCCCACCCGCGCCGCGCCCACTGACCTGAATGGAGGTCACGACCCCGCTGGCGAAGACGGAGAGCTTCCCGGCCACGGAGCGCACCCCCTGCTTGAGCTGGGCCACGTCGGGCGCCGCGGGCAGCACGCTCGTCAGGCTGTAGCTCCCTGCACGAGCGCGGACGGCGGTCACGGCCCAGTGGGCGGCAGGAC